GACGTGCGACTGTCGGCGTTGGGGGGGGTGGCGGGGGGGGGGGGGGTTCTTCAAGCTGGAATAATAAATTCGGAATTTTTTTGAACGACTGAGCTGAGAAAATTTACAGAGAAAAATATGGCAGTGATGTCCCGGTGATAACGTCACCAAATTATCACCCCGAAGGACGTGTGTTCGACACTCATCGTCACCGCTTGTTGTATACCATCCCTTTGATCAGCCAATTCCCCCTGCTGAAAATTGTATCATTGTTATATCCGATAAAAATGGGAAGTAAAAAAAGGAAAATGAAAAAAGTCTCGTTAGATTTTGATTGTGAAACTTCTTGAACACTTTATTAATCATCATCATTATTTTTATGATAAATGTTTCTTTTTTCCCCATGTTTCCTTCCTTTCATCTCCCCCACCCCGCATACGATTACCATACTCTCCAGTCCGAGCTATGTGGATTCGCGAGTTTCCGTAGAGATGGCTGCAAAACGTATCGCTTTTAGCAAATCATTCAACGCCGGTCAAGTTTGTGTGTCTACGGACTATGTGTTATGTCACAAGGATATATTTGTAAGTTTCTCTGTTACTCAATTGAACTTGGTTACTGATTGTTCAGTGCACCCCTTTGAATTGCTCCTTCATGTTCACTGTTTCAAACCTATTCAGATTTGAAGAAACCGCGTGGAGGTTAACAGATGACGTGGAAACGAGACATGAAGAGATGCACAGAGCGACCAGGTAGAGTAGGTTTCTCCCGTCTTCCAGGTTGGGGTCCGAAAGACTCGGCAACTGGCTGGTTGGAGACAACGAAGAATGTGGCGACTAAACCACTACAGTGGCGTGTTTGTAGTCATTTCTTATCAGATCAGAATGCTTGAAAAGGTATGTATGCACACTTAGATTGTGTACTCTGTGTGTTGACCATAGAGATTCACTTTCTTTGCCTCCCTCCAATTAGGCCCGATCCCTCTCCATCTTGTGCTTTATCACTTGCTTTGTGTACACTGTGAGCTTGGCAGCAATCAGTGAAGTTCGCTCCGCTGTATCTCGCTGTACGACGATGATGATCACTGTTTCAAACTCCCGGAAGTAACTCGAATAGCTTACACTGTTTTCCTTATTTTTCAGTTTGCGTAATGTGTCTGTGTTGACATGTTTATCTCAACTGATAATGAAACTTTTACGAACAACTTGCCCTCGTCCTGTTCGAACAACGGATTCAAAACATCTTTTTTTCACTTTCACTTCCTTTTATTGAATATATAATGCTACAATTTTCAGGAACGTGGAAGCGGCAAACCAAAAGGTTGCCATGCAACACGCATAATGTTGTGGTAGTGGTGGTGGTGGGATTCGAACACGTCCTCCGGGGTGATAATTTGATGACGTTACTAACGGGCCACCATCGCCAGTCACCGATGTTCCAGTCCATAAGCATAACCATTCAAACTCCAGTTTTATTTTCAAGCTTTCATTGACCCTTTCGGATGAAGCACTAGACGGAAGATTGAACTATGGAAAGTAGTGTCAGAGTAAGCATAGAGAATCAAGATAGACTCAATTTGCAAACGTTTTGAATAGATCCATGAGCGTCAGTGTTTTACGACACGCAGTCATTTCACCCAGTGTCTTTAACTGTACAAACTATTTTACAGATTCTCGCATTATACAGTATCCATTCCGCATCTCATTGCAGCGAACTCATTTCGGGATGAAAAAGGCATTATCCAAGCGTTTACTGTATTCAGTCTTCTGGCTGAGAATTATTTGACAACTTGCCCATAGATAGACCAGTCTCAGGCCCTAAATTAGTAGTGTTGGCTTTGTCAGTTGGTGGTGGTGATGGTGATCGTGTTAATCAAGCGGTTTAAACCTTTGTTATCGGCGTAGTCCGAAACCTGCCGTCCAAATCCACCTGCAGTCGTAGACAGCTTAGCTATCATCAGGCTATCCTAGTAGAGCATCGAATAGTTGACTTCCCCAAGTACCGGGCCTAGGATCACCGGTTCCCATAGCTACACAATAGGTCCTAATGCTTATTTGGTGCATTCCCTTCTGTTGTGTTCATATCGAGGTGTGTAATCTTTCACATGAGCTCGCGATCATAGAACCAACTGTTGTATGCATTTTCGAGAGAGAGAGAGAGAGAGAGAGAGAGGGATTGTGTGTGGTCACTTAACAAGGTTGCATTGAGTAGGTTGGGTATCCAGTTTTGCATCATGTTTCTGTGAGTTTTCCAGCCCTAGTTGTTGCGCCGTAGCAAAAACACCGCAAACTGGAATACAGTGAAAACCTTCATAGTCCTACTTTAACATACCTATCCCGCTCGTGGAGTGGTGAAGCACACCATAAAACCTACATGGCTGAAAATTCAACAGTAGCGCTTGACAAATCAAGCAATCTCGTGCCCGTGTATCAAGAATTTAACTCAAATCAACAGGTCATTTCGTGTGTATCTTGTGACATCGACCATTCATCACTCACATTGCACAATATTTGTTTGCAATCACTGAAAAAGTTGTGTCTCCGTCTCGATGTCTCACTTTCATCTCGCATGAGTGCGTGCCATGTAGTGCGACCGCAGACGGTCGTCATTACATTGAAATAGGCTCCGTGCAAAACAAGCAGATTAAAGTTGTTATCCGGGCCTCGGATAAACACATATGCACAACAATTCTGAGCGAACGAAGCTCCCATTGGTTCTCTCTTTATCTCTGTGGTAGTTAGTACATGCACTTCAATTTTAATGATGCCGTGTTCAATCAGCAGTGTCAATCAAACCTTTGTGAGCAGGTACGCCTGTGTTACAGTCCAAAACCAACCCAAGGACACGTAGAGAAAGACTGACAAAAACGAAAAATGCATGCTGTGATCGATGTCACTTATTCAAGATCTGATTACTTTGTAGCATATATTTATATATATTTATCACCGGCTGACGAGCAAGCTTGTTGACAACGCAACAACAAGAATGAGAGAACATAGCAGACAATAGCGTGGCTACAACATCGCTTGCTCACGTGGTTCTGTTTCACTTCGGCAGCCCAAATCTTGCCTTCTACACTGGATCTTTGACTAGTTAGTTGGTTCAGTGAGGCGTAGATACGAACCGCGAGTTCAGCTCCAGTCAACGTGTGCTATAGCAACAAATAATATGCATGCAAGATAGCCTTTTATCAAATTGTGAGGCACACAATGTCAAGCAGTTACCGTTCATCAGAAGTAGTGCATAGCGAGAACTTTTCAGTCTGCCTAATTTCCCATTTCCTGCCCAGTTACAAGAGTTCTACCAGTGTAGGTGATCTGTATAGGTCTCAGAGAAAATGTGTAAACAAATCGCAGCAGCAACCACATTGGTTCTGTCCACACCCAAGGTCAATAAAGTAAATGACTCCACTCGATAAATATGGTTATATCAACGATCTCCAACCTTTCAATGTTACTTTGTTCAATAAAAAAGCTTGCTTATTCTGGAAATAGAGTTTTTAAAGATCGAGTTCCCTGTTTGATGTGAACCAGTCAAGTAGCAATATTTTGCAAGCACATCTCACTAGCCCGACCCCCGGTTTTAAATAGATTATCGTTTTTCTCCAATCTCTCGGTTCGCGATGAACGCGATCAAATCCTGATTCCACTCCTTCGTCGAAGTACTCGTCGCCACCCATCATTATGCGTATCTGTCACTTTCGTATTCGTACTCGTGACTTCAATTCCATGATAATATCTTCATTTGCATAGCCCCAGAGGTTGGCTTCAGGTTTCCTTACTTCGGTAAAAAAACAAAGCACCGATCACAAGGGTAGTGTGTTCAGGGCTTGTTGAGTCCGTTCGACGCTCATATGGGCAGGATCTCGGGGTGATGAGATCTGCTTACGGAGGCACTAATTGCCTCCCATATTTCGATATTTTACGGCGCCATGACTGCCAGTCTGTTCTGTTCCCTCTAACGATTGCTTCGAGAATAAAATATTGCATGATAGAAAATCAACTGCCTCCGGGAGCCTCAGTACGATCGGGGGTGGAGTATACGTGCTAGTTACCTTTCCGTTTCAGCTTACCAAATGCCTCAGTATATAACCAAGTGTCTCAGATAGCCACGGGCATTTCGCGGTATTGATAGTTTGCCATCAAAATGCTAACATCTGGGGTCGTAACCGGGTTGATGAACCACTGGCAACTCGATTAGAGTAGTAGGCTAAAAACTCTGATTCTAAACCAACCGACCAGGAACGGGTATACTAAGTACACTGACACCCACATCTTCCTGGTTGTGACGGTATTCATCGGCTTAATTGGGCACCTAGGACTATTTGACCCCTGTCAAAGGAAGTATGATCCGATGAACTGGACACCAGTCTCCAATGGATCGCGATTTTCAAACCGCCCGACTGCTTTGTGGGTCAAGGCTTCGCTCGCACAAANATTCCCCAAGAAAATTTACATGTTTTCCCCAGGCCAACCCGGGCGTATTCCACCCACTAGCAAACCATAAATCTTTTTCGTTGTTATCCAATTTATTGTCCCATGATTTGCGTTGCATACAGTATGAACTCAGATCTTTTTTCACTCCCCGTCCCACTGACTCATGTGTTAGGTTTAGGCTAGGCTCAGACTCAAGAATCGTTTTCCAGTATCTGGGCTCTACAATCAGATCAAATGAACAGCCTAAGGATGAAATCCAACGTGTTGTAGCTGGAGCTAGAAGAGTCTACCTATCACTCCGCAAACGGTTATGGAACCGATACGAAATAAGCTTAAACACTAAACTTCGGGTTTATTCATCCCATTCTCACTTTATGGTTGTGAAACATGGCCGCGAAGAGTACAGAATACAGGGAAGGAAGCTCGATGTCTTTGATCATTGGCGCTTACGCCTCATCTTGAAAGTAAATCGGGTTTCCAATGAAGAGATTCAACATCGCTGCCCGGACATCGACGAGCTTTCGAAATGGTTTGGTCACATGCTCCGAAGGCCCTACGCTCAACTCTTACGACAGGCTGTAACCTCCGCACCATACCATAGATGGCGTTGCCGACTCGGTGGTCAACGGAATATCTGGAGCAGTACAATCCAGGCGGATTTGGAATTACCGGGCCTTCAATCCGTATATAGAATTCGTATCTGGAACCAGAACTGTATTATACGGCTCCAAACTTGCCGCCGATCGTCACGCATTGGCTACCATCAATAGAGATATTGAAGAAGCCCAAATTATCCTCCTGCAATTAGTCGCTCAAATGTAAAAGTAAGGAAGATCACAAAAACTGTAGTTCTGAATTCTCCAAGAAAATCCACCTGCTCTGGACCTTTTCCTTTTTTGATGTACAATAATACGTAGCACACAGATGAGTGCCATTTGCTTTAAGCGTAATTTTCCTCCTGCATAAGAGATTCCTCCTAAATTGTTGCATCTTGTTCGTTCTGACTCTACAGGAGGAATTCAAACGAGTCCTATTGGATGTGTACAAAGAGTTTTACGGTGAGAACCCCCAACGGACTGCTAAATTCAGTCGCATTGTAAACAATCGACACTTCAAGTGAGTTGTCTGTCCCGAGGAGGTGTGTGAGGGGGGGGAGGGGAGGATTCCGAGTCATTGTTTGGGGAGATTCTTTGGACAACCATGTCCCTTTTTTATTCTGGGCTATTTTCACAGTTCAGTCATCGATGTTATGTGCGATTCCGTGTGCGAAAACCGCTCATTATTGTTAACCTTTAGTCCACTATTGTAATTGGTTTCGTCTACTTTGAAATATGAGGCCTACCAGCGTTTCATCAGATCTCCGCTTAAAAGGTGCAACATTTGATAGACAAGTAACATGTAATGGCAGATCGTTCCACGTTGTAGGAAAAACATGAACATCGGTATTCTAGTCAACATGTTTGATGCACTCACTTGAAACGATGTCCCCCTAGATAAACGTTTTGAGGTTAACGCCTTCATCGTTACAACTCAGTCATCATGATCATCATCGTACAGCGAGATACAATGAAGCGAGCTTCGCTGCCAAGCTCGCATTGCTCACAAAACAAGTACAAAGTGGATAGGAATTGAACTGTACATGTCCGTTCTCTATGATTTACAATTTCAATGTGCTATAAATGTGCTTGTTTGTTTTACGTCAGCGATTGAGAAGATTAAACGAAATGTTAACATCTCGCGACATATGTCTGCTTTCGGTCTTGATACGATGGATAAAGGGGACCCAGTGTTTCAAAAAACATTTTCAGTACGTCTGCTGTGTGAAGTGGCCAGCTCTTGTGGCTGTTGGAGTAAGACTGCGAGTAACATGCGGTCGGATGCTCGATGTGGGAACAGTGTTGATTCAAACCGACCACATACATGTCTGAAAACAACCGACCTCCTTTAGAGCTGTAGTTGAGGTCCTAGCGAAGTTGATCGAACAGCTTTGGTCTTCTTGAACAGTAATGCTCAGTTCATTCTCACTTGACGCTTGTGGCATTTGTTGATTTTCGGGGCAATTTGTGAACCGGCCCTTGAGGCCTAGTGGAGGAACGGGGATCAAGTACGGATTTGTCTTCATTGATTTTCCTTGTCTTACATTTTTCGCGGGAAATTTTAACGGAAAGAAGTGTGCCAATAAATGCGGGATAAGATCCTTGCAGAACACCTACACATACGTAACAATGATAGAGGATTGGCTCTCAATTGACGAGTGAAAAGCACTCAACTAATCAGTTTCTTGATACAGTTCGTGAAAGTTTCAGGCACCTGGAATTGTGTTTTGTTTATGTTCTCCCACATAGTACAACCTTGACTGCAATGTATGTTTCTAATACCCCATTCAGTAGCAGATAGTCATATTTGTGCAAGCACGTGTTATTTATTGTTTTGGTTATCTGTATAACCTTGTTCACTGTGCACCCTAGTGCGATGGTTTCGGTTGCTGTCTTTTTGCTACCCTTTTGGATAAAAGACCGGAAGGAAGTTCGGAACGTCGCGAGCCGAGTCCAAGCGAAGCTGGAGAATTCATGTAGTTTGGCTGTGAAGTGAAGTGTAAGTGAAGAATTCCGGAGGTTGAACGGACCTAATCCCTCAAACTTTCACGGAATTATTCTCACAGTTCTTCAAGGATAGCTTTTCCCAGAATCATTCCCTGAGATTCAAATGCACGTATCTTGGCCTAACTATTTCATATCAAAACGACACCGAAACCTCACGTTTGTGACATGAAATGCAAATTTGTAATCACAAACTGAGTATGCGAAAAAGCCCCACTTACGAGAAAATGGTAACCATGGATTGAAGTGTGTTTTCCCTGGTCAGTTGGTTGATTGCAGTTCGATCATGCTTAAGAATGGTCTACACAAGTTACTTCATCTACCACATATTGCATGGCTCACTTTACGCGATACTAACGCTGGTGGTTCGAACCCTGTCGCCACCACGCACACAAACGCACTTCAATGGTAAACAATTTCGTTGTTGCCCTACTCAGTACCAATCATTTGCTATCCCATGGTTCGTCACTTCAAACCGTAACCGAGATTAAGTTTATCANTTGTTTTTTTTTTTTGGGGGGGGGGTCAAGTTCATCAATAGTCTTCCTTCTTCCTCTCGGTGCAGACGGTGTGAATCTTGCGCTCGCCCCCTCCACCGCAAATGTTTCTCACGCTTCTCTGAACTCGATCTTGCCTCATCCCCCCCAACACGCGATGGGCCGTTCAACTATGATAAGTTTTAACATGGCACTACAGTTATGCTTATTCCGGTTGCATAATTTCGTCAGTTGTCCTCATATTCCGGGCGGACTAGTTACATGTTTAGCTGCCAGTGCCTATTCGCATGTTTTTTTGGTGGGGGTATTCAATCTAGCTACTCCACCCACCACTGGCGTGCCACTGAACACAAGAAACTACCTCTGATTTAATCTCATGAAACAGTCGTTAGAATCCGCTGGCGTGCTCTCATTGTACCTCTGTATCTTGATAATCAATCTGTCCGCTTTTCATTGTGTTCATGTCATGTAACGGTCGCTCTTTTTGCCTGCTTTCAACTAACTTTTTCCCCGCTTTAATCAACCTGCTTTCAATAGGCGGCTAACAGGAATGCTGGCGAATACCAAGGGCAAAATAATTCTCGGCGGTGACTCGGATGCGGAGGATCTGTTCATTGCTCCCACCATTGTGGCATATGTATCCAAAGATGACGCTCTGATGCGAGAAGAGGTGAGTGACTGATCGTTGTTTATCACGTCAGGGCAGCTTACCCCCTGCCTCGTTTGAATTCGTGCCACTGCACTGTCAGATTCGTTAGTTCGCTCAGCTTATGTCTGTCTTATGGGATTTATTTGCTTCATTTAAAGGTTGTTTCCACACACACTTGGCACACCATTTTATACATCGTTAGATGACCGTCAGATTAGAAAACCAAGCTCATCGTTGAGTCTTGAACAAATATCCGCATAGCAACACTTTGACTGACTTTTCCGTTTGTAACTTACAAGTTATTAGCATCTGTTAAAAAAAAATCCAATTTAGTATTCTCGAAAGGATTGTGTTTGATCTTTTCGTGCACCGGCATTCCTTCAGATCGATTGTGTACGGTCAAACCATGCTCAAAGACAACCGAATCACCTTTTTGCAAATTTCTATCGTTCTCGTCCCTCTCTTCCTGTGCTCATGTTTGTTCCCAGTTCTTAAGCTTTCCACCATGATTTCATTGGAACAGTTTGTAACCGGACCAGTGTGAATTACATGGGTATACCTGGATGTGGTGTCGGCTTTTGTTTCCTTTCCCCTTGTCACATGTCTGCATGCAATGCAATTCATTTAGTCGTTGCCAGTCGTTCATCGTTTCGGACATACAGGAATATATAATACGGTAGATTAATCAGTCACCTAATACACCGTTTTGAGTGCCACATCGATAGGCGCTTGGTTATGCATCAATGCAAGTTTGACTGTTGCTGTCCTGTTGGAAAATTTGTCGAAGCTCATTGTCCTTGAGGAAGAGTGGGGGGATGAATAGCGGCAAGGATCTATTTGGTTATGGAAACCGATGACCTGTGTGTGTGTGTGTGTGTATGTGCGCTCACTGACTCTCGGATTGAACAACTACATACGGTCCGAATAGAACAGGCTGCATATTGAGCCGAATAAGTTACTGTGTCATCTCATCACCCGTCGCATAAAGATATTGTCTATGTATATCGTGCAGGCCTCTATCTCGTCATTGTTTTGTCCATACGTGTTTCTCGGCCATTTTTGGTACACGGTTTTCTTCTTTTTTTGGCACAGATATTCGGTCCCATATTGCCAATTATTGTGGTCGATTCCGCCACGGAAGCTATCGAATTCATCAATTCCAGGTAATTCATATCCGGTACACATATTTGTCCGTCAATTCGCTCCGCCCCCACCCCCCTCTTCATCACACGAACTAACTTGATCTTNTCTTTGTTTGCTGCTTTGTCTTCACAGGAACAAACCGTTGGCAATCTATGTATTCACAACAGACAGTAACGTGTTCGCCAATTTCAAACATGGCACCTCGAGTGGTGCAATCAGTCAAAATGATTGCTGCACCCATCTCCTCCGTAAGTCCGGATTGTTGGCTCGTTCATTCACCGCTCGGCGTGTGTTCGCACACCACGTTGCTCACTCCTCCCTCGTCGTCATCATCATTATCATCATCATCATCATTATCATCGTGCGAACGTGGAATAAAAACACACCCGACCTGTTTGTTACATCCCAGG